TGCTGGAGTTTTTGACAATTAAAAGTGCGCCCACATTTTCAAAGTTAAACACATTTCTTTTAACAACGGTAGTTCCTGCTTCAGCCCTCTCCCCCCTCCCCCTGCGCAGCGCCGCAAACTCACTGATGCGCCTGCAGCCTCTCGGAGTTCCTGCTGCTCTAAACATTAAAATAATTATTTCATTTTCTGTTCCTCACTTCTGATGACCTTCAATGGTGTCTGTTTGTTGCAACCACCAGGTACAAAAACTAACTTGTTTTTATTTGACTATTTTTCTGTCCTGTCTGTTTATTATCTTCCTGCATCTCCTCTCAATCCTAAAGAAAAACTGCTACCTGGGTTCATATATATTCACCTTATGAGTTACCTTTGAACTGCAGTTCTAAAAGATCTACCGACCGCAAAAACAGCGGAGCGCTCGCTGTTTGGCGGCCATATCAGTGATCAGTGCGTCGAAGGACAACGTGATGCGCGCAGCGCCCCGCTCCACAGCATGCAGCCAAACGCATCAGGCGCAAATAAAAGACAGAAAACATTAAAGGAAATAAACCGACATGAACGATCGCGTGTCAGTACCTACGGTCCGGCACAGCGCGTTGCTGATCACAGAGAATGTGATCATACGATAATTCAATAGGGAGCGTGGTTTCACAAACGCGGAAGTGAGAGCGTCGGTGAAACGCCGGCTGCTCTAGGAAACCCCCGAGCATTCGAGCGTCAACGAAGTGACACGGAAATGCCGGGCTTTCCAGAAGTAAGTAAGATAACTTACTATGAGCTGATAGTTCGTTGGATTGATTGGTAGGTTGGAAACTCTGATCATGAATCTGAAGAAAGGATGACTGAGCTGTAAAGGCGACTTCCGTTTATAGCCGCGGTTTGTGACGTAGGTGCGACGTGGAGGGAATCCCCGCGAGGGGCATGCTGGGAGTCCCTACTTCGCGGATTTTCACCTATCGCGGCCAGGTCTGGAACGCATCTACCGCGATAAACGAGGGATTACTGTAGTTCATACACCCCCTACTGCTGCTCTCCAGAGTGTTCTGCAGCATAATCAGCACGTTCTCTTTGAACTTGATAGTGTAATGACCTGGCTGGGGTTGTAAGCCAGGTGCATTCTGGGTATTGTGTTATATGTGTTTCCTATCGTTCTGCTAGTTCCTATGTGCTGATTTGCGTGTTGTGTGAGTGTTATGTAAGCCACAGGGAAGGTGATGTGTGTTCTGTGGAGCGGGTTGAATTAGCATGGTTAACTGACACCGTGACTCTGTGTGGTAGGAGCGTGATAGAGGATCGTGTCTGAAGTGTTACAAAGCGTAGAAAGAAAAGCCTGATAGAGGTTTGCGAGCACCCCTACTGCCTCTTGCTGGTTGATTTGGGGACTATAAGTCTGCCGCTGGGACGCTAGTACTGGCTTGTTTTCACATTTTTGGCCACAATAAGAGACCGGCCATTATTTACCTCCGCTGACTCCGACACCGGCCAAAATTGGAGACCCGGCCTTTAATTCAATACCGGCCTGTATTAGAGGATTTACGGTGTGTGTATATATATATATATATATATATATATATATATATATATATATATATATATATATATTAGCACACTCACAAGTGTATATATAGATATAGATTTAATCTTGCATATAACATTGCATATACTCTATATGAGTAGCATACATATAACATTACATTTGTATAGGGCTGTCGAGGAATTCCCCCTGCGGTGATTCAGGGTGGCTTAATATTGCGGTGTGCGATATTATTGCAGCCCTTTTTTTTATTGCAGTACTATCTAAACATAATGTTTACACATTTAAAAAAGGTTAAAAATTGCTGTGCCTTCTTTAATAACACTTTACTGAATGCAGATCAAAGGGCAGTAACAACACAGATCGCAGTAACATTTGTTTCTCCGACAGTCGGAGTCCGACTGAACTTAAAAACAACAATATTCAGGATAAGGTTAAACTTTTAAATGCAAATTTGGCTGCAGCATCTAACAAATAATAAACAAGTCCCCATTTTGTTTAGTTGTTTAAAATCAAGCATAAAAAATTACATGTACCGGGCGCGCGCGCGCCGGGGGGCGGGCACACTATCATTTCACTTTCACACACATGAATGACGGTGCTTTATAGCTCGGTCACGTCCTTGTTACCTACAAGGAAAACCAGCATGTTAACCATATACGGTTTCAGAGAGGATCTGAGAGGGGTGGCAACATTTCCAGCAGCACTGAAAACCCTCTCGGATGGTGCGCTCGTTGCACTAACACACACGTACTTGCGTGCGACTCTGGCGAGCAAAGGGAATCTCTCCCGGTTGTTGCTCCACCATGTCAGGGGGGTTTCTTTAGGGTGGATGCATTCCTCCTGCAGGTAGCGAGTGAGCTCCAGCTCGGCTCAAACTCTTCAGGACGGTTGCAGAAGCAGTGCTTGTCCGGGACTTCAGCAGGTCTCCGAGCGTTTTTTTTTTTTTTTTTTTTTTGCCGCTGGTGGCAGCTCTGTCTTGGCCAAGGACTCTGGCTGCGCAGCAGCTGACGTACTGAAAGCCAAAGTGCTCCCAAAGGAGCGAAGTAACGTTTCGTTTTGATACCAGTGCAGCCATCCTTCTCAACATGCATCATTGAGTTGAACCAAGTTCAGTAATCGCGGTGGCCCATGATGCAGTGCGGTGGGCTTCTTCATATTGCGATATTTCATTTTTGCGGTTACCGCGACAGCCCTACATTTGTATATGAGTATCCTACATATAACATTACATATATATGAGTATGCTACATATAACATTACATATATATATATATATATATATATATATATATATATATAAAAGTATGCTACATATAAAATTAAATATATAAGAGTATCCTACATATGACATTGCATATACGATTATCCTACATATAACTATATGTATATGTATATATATATATATATATATATATATATATATATATATATATTGCATATAACATTGCATATACTCCATATGAGTAGCAAACATATAACATTGCATATACTCTTTATGAGTATCATACATATGAAATTACATATATACGAGTGTCCTACATATAACATTGCACATATATGAGTATGCTACATGTAACATTACATATATGAGTATCATACATGTAACATTACATATATGGGTATCATACATATAACATTACATATGTAAGTTTCCCACATATAACATTGCATATATATGAGTATCCTACAATTACCATAGCATATATATGAGTATCATACATATAACATTACATATATGAGTATCCTACATATAATATTACATATATATGAGTATCATACATTTACCATTGCATATATATTAGTATCATACATATAAGATTACATATATGAGTATCCTACATATAACATTACATATATATGAGTATCATTCATATAACATTACATATATGAGTATCCTACATATGACATTACATATATAAGTATCCTACATATAGCATTACATAAATGAGTGTCATACATCTAACATTACATATATGAGTATCATACATATAACATTACATATATAAGTGTCCTACATAAAACATTGCTAAAATGAGTATCCTACATATAACATTGCATATATATGAGTATCATACATATAACATTACATATATGAGTATCATACATATAACATTAGATATGTAAGTATCCCACATATAACACTGCATATATATATATATATATATATATATATATATATATATATATATATATATATATATATATATATATATATATGAGTATCCTACATATAACATAACATATATGAGTATCATACATATAACATTATATATATACTAGTGTCCTACATATAAAATTACAAATATATGAGTATCCTACATATAACATTACATATATGAGTATCCTATATATAAACTTGCACATATGTGTATTCTTTCATATAACATCACATATATAAGAGTATCCTACACATAACATTACATATATAAGTATCCTACATATAAAATTGCATATATACATGTATATATGAATATCATATGTATAATTTTACATATATGAGTATTGTACATATAACATTATATATATATATATATATATATATATATATATATATATATATATATATATATATATATATATAGTATGCTACATATAACATTTCATATTTATATATATGACTATCATACATCCAACATTACATATATACGAGTGTCCTACATAGAAAATTTCAAATATATGAGTAGCCTACATATAACATTGCATTTATATGAGTATGCTACATATAACATTACATATATGAGTGTCCTACATATAACATCACATATATGTGAGCATGCAACATGTAACGTTACATATATGAGTAACCTATATATAAACGTACACATATGCGTATCCTTTCACATAACATCACATTTATATGAGTATACTACATATAACATTACATATATAAGTAGCCTACATATAACATTATATATATATAACATTATATATATATAACATTATATATATATATATATATATATATATATATATAATGTTATATGTAGGCTACTTATATATGTAATGTTATATGTAGTATACTCATATAAATGTGATGTTATGTGAAAGGATACGCATATGTGTACGTTTATATATAGGTTACTCATATATGTAACGTTACATGTGATCATACGATATGAGTATCCTTCATATGACAATGCACATATAAGTATCCTACACATAACATTGCATATATGCGTATCCCACATTTAACATTACATATATATACGTATCTTGCATATAACATGGCATATACTCTATATGAGTGTCCTACATATAACATTTCAAACTTTACTATCTGTACATAAAAACACAGGTGAAAAAAGCCCTTTTAGTATTGCAAATAATTAGAAAATGTGGTTTCTGGAAATAAAATAATGCGTAATCAAGAAAACAGCATTTTTCTTATAAATAAAATTAACTTATGAACCTGCATGTAGGTGAAGCTGATTTTTACTCATTATGCAACCTTTATTTTATCCAGGGTTTGGTGTTTGAGGAGGAGAGACCACCACCACCAAACCGTGCCCCTCTAGCCCCAATGCTCGAGTTTGTCTCTGCTCAGACGGGGGTTCCTGTTGTTGCCGTCGGGGGCGGAGCCAGTCTAGGACGAGAGCCACAGGTACAACTGGATTACCTATCATTGCATCATCAACCCCGTTCTTCTCCTTTGAACCAAAGAAAGCCTAGAATGTCTGTGGTTGAGAAACAAAAGTCCAGGACAAAATTAATTAAGTAACTCAAGAGAAGTTAGGTTTATTGAAATGTTTCGCAGTTCTTGAGTCATATCAGAAAGTTAGAGAAATAAAAGTGGTTTAACTAAAGCATAATGTCAAGTGATAAGCTATAAAATCTAAATTAAAACTGGAAAATTCTTAAACTTACTTTAGTTTCTGGCGATCTTTCTCTTAGGGTTTGTCACAATGAATGACTCAGTGGGATGTTTCACAGCTGGCTAGTTTTATGTAATTGTGCAAATTATAAAAATGCTGCATTAGCTTCTGATACAGCTGCACTCCTGGCACAGACCTGACATTAGGATAATAAATCTTAGAAAAATGTATAAATTTCAGCTTTAGAGTTGACAAATTCCTTTGACCTGCTGTTATATGGAATTAAACATATTAGAAACATTCCTGTGACTGCATACATTTTAGATGAGAGAATAATTTGTAATTTGTCTCCTACAGAAATCTAGAAACTACTAATTTTTTTACAGAAATTGTGTAAGCCCATTTCTGCCACTCAGAGGAAAAAAAATCATTTTTTTATTATTTCATAATTATGACTTGATTGAACAAAGGGTTCAATCACTTTTAAAGGAAATTAGAGGTTCTTATTTACTAAATTTGGGCCATACGAAGTTGTAATGTTAGATAAATGGTATTTAAATAGTATTTATGTATTCATTTCAAATGGGGAGACACCTGTAGACTCATGGGGAGTAGCCCGTATGGCCATAAGGACCAATGGAAGCTTCACATCCCAGTCTCTGTGACCAGATGACATGTATTTCCTTAACGTGCTGACAACAGTCTGGTTCATCCTTTCCACCTGGCCGGAAGACTGGGGCCGGTAACCAATGTGGAAATTGGCGGAAATAGATCTGCATGTCATGTGATGTCGCTAAGGCATCTTAAGCCATGAAGAGGTCTTGATGTTTAACAGGCTTCTGGTTAGAGGTTAAGGACCTGTTGCTTTTCCAAGAAGGTAGATGACAAATGAAACTGAGACGCGCGTAGTCCGAGTCTGTGCAGAACACCAGCTTGAGGACACCATGGTCGGCAGCGAGTTGTAGCACTATCAAAATCCCAGCCACTTCTGCAAAGTTTGAGGTCTTGGGACCCAGCTGGTAACACTAAGAGTCTTTCCAGTTAGCGTGTAGCCAAACAAGACACACACCTGAACAAGGTTCAGCGCCGTGTCAAAAGGAACTGCCATCAACGGACAGTTGGTAAGTCCACACAGAGAGCCTGGTCGAAGTAGTGGTGGTTGGGGTTCAGCAGAGTCTGGGGAGGGTTAGCCGGTAGGACCGACGCAACAGCGTCGTCCAAGCAATGCTGGCACGCAGCCAGACCCATGCCAAGAGGACTACGGTGATTCTGTGTGTAGCGTACTTCAATGTCAAAGCTCTGAAGAGCAAGCAGCAATGACGCAATGCGTGCTTTGGTCACCACACCATTTCTGATGTGTTGACCGTTAAGGAAGGTCACTGGCTGATGTTGAATTTCAATGATGATTTTCTGCCCAGCGATGTAGCTGGAAAAGTGTTTAACTGCGTTGGACACCAGACAAGCACACGCAACTTGCCAAAGATACTTTGTCAGTCCTGAAAACTGAAACAAAGAATGTTTATGACCGTAGACTGATGTAGTTGTGGCTGTTCAAGGGGTCGGCACAGGTGAGTGCTCTGGAGAGCCCTCGGTCGACGCGCAGGTGCAGTCAGAGAGATCAAGGTCAGCCAGTATTGGTACAGGACGACAGTCAACCCCCCCTTTGGTTGGTGGGTCACCAACCTCAGGGCTAGAGGTCACCAGCGCAAGCTGTAGTGGAGCAGGGTCAGTGATGTCATCAGCCCCCTTTCAGCATGTGGTGTCCCCACCGCAAGGTTCTGGGCTTCCGCTGGAGTATCAGTGCCATCATCAATCTCCCCCATCGGCATATGGTGTTCCCACCGCAGGTTTTGGAGATTCAGGTGGAGGTGGAGTGTCACTGCAACCGTCGACCTCATCTGGAGCAGGTGGTTTTCCCACCCCAGGTTGAAGCGATCCAGCTGCAGCGACGACACAGACTCTGCGGGTATCACTGACCTTGGAGGCTGTGGAAGGACTGGTCACTCTTAACACATCAGAGGACGGCTCTGATGGAGGCTTTGAACTCGGGAGTGAGCATGCAATTTCCCCATGCTCAGGGTCACCAATGGCAAGGCAGTGAGAGTCTAGGTCAGGAGGCAAAATAAATGGCAGGGGTTCTTCGACACCCGCCCAAGGTTCACCCTTTTCCAGATCGATAAAAGCTTTAAAGCGCTTCAAAAGATCAACGCCGATGATCAAAGGCATGGCACCGTGCTCACAGATGTACACGGAGTCCACGTCAAAGTCACAGGACCGATCGTGAAGTGTAGCATAGACCTGGAAGACAAGATCATGGTAGAAGGAGAGAAAATATGGACAGTTACTGCACAAGGATTCAATTGTGGAGGTCGTACGCCTCCTCCTGCACCCAGGCAGTTGCGGTTGAAATCAGACTTGCACATGAGTGTGTAGTCTGAGCCAGTATCCGGAAGAGCATTGCAGGGGTGCTCCTGTTGCAATCTCACAGATACCATGGGCTTACCAGCTCTCCCCTGAGGTAGGAGATGTCCCAAGAACAGTTTGTCTGGCACGACACCCGGGGGCGTCAGGGCCACTGTCCATGGCGGATGAATTTATCATCAGTGTGGCTGGAACAGAATCAGCCATTTGGTCTGTTTCTTGTAGGTCAGAGTCAATCTGTTCATCTGGTTGCAGCTTTTTCTCCATATCTGGAGACAGATCAGCAGAAGAAAGGGTTAAACCTTTTCAACACAGGAAGCATGCTCAATAGTGTGGACTCTATCATCCAGATTTTGTAATTTATGGTTTACATTGGAGAACTGCTGTTGAATGTCCCTTTTCATTTCAGTTAGAAAATCCATGAAAAGTTTATCCCTGTCTTGGGCCATCTTGATGATGCCACAAAACAGTAATTTTGTGATAAAATCAGTGGAAAACTGGATCTAATAAGCTGTTGCTGAAGATGCCGGATTAAAACATGTCAGTAGATGGCGGTACCAGATTGATTGAGATCTGGGCAAGTGTGGGAGGGGTAGTGTGCGTCACTCCGTTACGCACAGTTCCGCCGTCCAAAATGGCGGACGGGCCCGTTGAGATGGCTTTCTCACAATAAAAGTCAAAATATACGATCAAAACCACTAAAACCTGCGGGGAGCTTGTTTTGTAGGGTAAAGCGAGGTATGATAAAGGCAAACGCTGCTAAGAACAGTTGACAGCGCCGCTTGTTGATCTGCGTGTCTGTTGGCGTTGTCAGCCTTGCTAATTTAGCTTGCTAAGCTAACGGCTTAGACCGCCTTTTTGTGAAGCGTATCTCTTGGCGTGATTCACAAGGTAGAATCAGCCCTTCGACTGGTGGAATACCGCTCAGGTTCTCGCTCTAATTATGTTTATGTGCTTAGCAGACGCTTTTACCCAAAGCGACTTACAATTATTTTTTTTAACCTATAGGGCATGTTGTGATCTGTGGGGGAAACCAGAGTACCCGGAGAAAACCCACGCATGCATGGGGAGAACACGCAACTCCACGCAGAAAGGCCGCAGCCGAGTTTCGAACCTGCGACCTTCGTGCTGCGAGGCAACAGTGCTAACCACTGCGCCACCATGACAATTATGTCAGTAAACGCTTGTAATTTTGTGGCATGCACTCGCTACGCTCCTCCATTTTTGGGCCCAAGAACGGGTGGATAGGGGGAGGGCCCACGGGTATAGTACTAATTTCGGGCTAATCAATTCTAGCCTCAGGCGTCCCTGGTGTAATTCTGATTGAAAACAGAATTAATATCTGGTATTTTCATCGGATAAGCGACCGTCATGCGGCGTTAGTGTGCTAATTATACCGGTTGATTAGACTGAATTAGCGAGCAGCTAAATACTAAGTGGGGATCAGTTTCCTGGCCCAGCTAACACCAGCTTACAACAGTGACAAAACCACACGAACAATGTAGCAGAATCACTCAATACGTGATAACACACACCCATAAATGTATTTATCTTAAAATATCCACAAATAGTTGATTACCTGCAGTTTAGCTTTGACTTTGAATGACAAGGGAGAGCAGCACCCCTTGGTGGCGAATAACGAGATCACCCTCGTTTTTCACCCAGACACAGATAATAGATTTTTGATATTAATTAATGATTCAAAAACCACCATGAAGTGTACGATTTTAATAAATCTGGCTGGTAATTGCCATTATGTAATGTTAGATAAAGCAGTTTACTTAACCAAATATACTATTTAAGAGCTATTTATATTATTAACACTACTTGAGACCAATAAGCTGTAATACTCTATTTAAATATAGAATATCAGCTTGCCTGGTCTTTATTTGTGTTAGTCAGAAGATTCTAGGATTCTTTTATTCATTAAGGGATTGTACATACTTCGTTTGATTCAAGAAACACTCAGGTTTATAAAAATTTAAGAATTTACCGTAAATCCTCTAATACAGGCCCGGGCCTGTATTTGACTCAAGCTCATCAAGCTCCAGACCTTTATTGGAAGGAGGGCCAGAATTAGAGGCAGGCCTCAATTTCTATTTGAGCAAAATGAACTAATGGTTCGCTGGAGTTTTTGACAATTAAAATTGCGCCCACATTTTCAAAGTAACATTTATTTTAACAACGGTAGTTTCTGCTTCAGCCCTCTCCCCCCTCCCCCTGCGCAGCGGCCGCAAACTCACTGATGCGCCTGCAGCCTCTCGGAGTTCCTGCTGCTCTAAACATTAAAATAATTATTTCATTTTCTCTTCCTCACTTCTGATTACCTTCAATGGTGTCGGTTTGTTGCAACCAGCAGGTACAAAAA